ATGAAGATATTGTATAATCAACTAGGATTACAGAGGAAAAAGCACAAAGTGCTTTCAGTCCATAAAATAAGTGATTATCACGAGGCAAGAGAAGTGACTGTTGGATTTAAAAGGCATTCAGATAGAGAGAGTGAAATATATATATATATATATATATATATATATATATATATATATATAATGTCACCACCCTACCCCCAGAAGATGTTGAAATCACAAAGAACAACTTTTAAAGAAATATAATAAGCTCACAGATGAAAAACCATTTATACATACCATTTTCAGCTGTACAGTTTGTTAAATGATCTGCAAAATTAGAAAAAGAAACTGAATCACTGTTGAGGTACATTATCTAAAGAGTACATGGTGTCCAAAAAATTCTGTTGCCTCTTTCATCTGAGTCAATGTGAGGTTTGCATTAGTAAGAATTGCGTATTTTTTTAAAAAAAAAAAAGGATAAAAAGAAAAAAAAATAAGAAGAAAGCTAGAGAACTAGTATCAAGCCAAGAAACAAAAGGTAGTCAACAGCATTCTTTTCTCAATGCAAACAGGGCTTATTGAAATACAACCAAGTACCTTTTTCCTTCAGCTAGTATATATGAGTTAAAATTTTCCAGTGCTTTTGCAAAAGGTCATTTCTATAAAATGAAGCATATTAAATATCATTTAATGGCTGTTATTGAAATCTGGCTCATGAAAAAACTACAGTTATATATTTTTTCTGTATAATGTGGCAAAAATATCACTACACATGTCAGCTAATTGTGTAATACCTTGCTGCTGTTTTGTTTCATGTGCACTTATATGAACAATTTCAGCTTATAACAGTGATTCTTTCCCTACTGGATCTCAATACACCTGACGTAAACTTTTTTTTCCATCAATAATAGTGATTCATGACAGCAATCATGAAATCCTTCATAGGAGACGATGTCATTAGAATCTCTCTCTAGTGGAAAGTTGAGAAGGGATTGCATAGTTCAGCATTTTCCTCAGGAGATTCTGATGTGACCCCTAGAGGTTATAAACCATACTCCCTTTTGAGACTCATTAGTCTTCCTAGGAGTTATAAACTACCTTCCCTTTTGAGAATTACTGATTTCTGAATGAAGACAAATAATTTATAGTTCTTCTTTTAGCCAAATTAACACACTTCTAGAACACAGTGTGCAGATGCTAGATGCATCACGGGCATTGACTCGCCCACATTTGATAGAGCTAGCACTTTGATATCTTTTCTTGTAGCAATAAAAGATTTATGCCTATACATCAGTTTGGTTGTGATGACCAGGTAAGAAGGTTGCCTGGGGTTAAGGTACAAGATAGGCCATGGGATACAATAAAATTTCACTTTGGCTTATTTGCTTAGCAATTCTAACCGAAGCTAATGAGCCATAGTTCAAAGCAATTCATTGACAATATTAATGGCAGCCTCAGGTCTAAGTAAATCATCTGACCTTTCACTCCCTTACTTGGCTGTCAGGAAGCTGAAAGGAAGAGCTCAAGCCTAGTCTTGGTTGTGACTACATTTACTAGTATCTGAAATAATGAGTTTTGGTAGCCACACAGTCTTTTCCCCTCCTTTTTATAATTGGTATATATTTGTACATTTTTATGGGATACATGTGGTATTTTGTTACATGTGTAGAATGTGTAATGATCAAATCAGGGTATTTAGAGTGTCCAGCACCTTGAGTATTCATCATTTCTATGTGTTGAGAACATTTCAAGTCTTCTCTTCTAGATATTTTGATATATACACAATACATCGTTGCTAACTATAGACATCCTACTCTGCTATCAAACATTAGAACTTAATTCCTTCTACTTAACTGTGTTTGAACTAATTTATGCCCATCCATTCCTTTATCCATCCACCCCCATACATTATTTCTAACTGGTAACTATTACTTTTAAATGGCAAAAACCGCAATTACTTTTGTATCAACCTAATATTTCACTCTGTATCTCTATGAGATCCACTTTTTTAGCTCTTACATGCAAGTGAGAACATACAATATTTGTCTTTCTGTGCTTGGCTTATTTCACTTAACAAAGTGACCTCCAGTTCCATTCTTGTTGCTGCAAATGACCAGATTTCATTCTTTTTAAATGAAAGCTGAATAGTATTACATTATGTACATATACAATTTTTCTTTATCCAATTATCCAATAGTGGACACTCGGGTTGATTCTATATCTTTGCTATTGTGAATAGTGCTGCAATAAACATGTGAGTGCAGGTATCCCTTTGATATAATTTCCTTTATTATGGATAAATACACAGCAATGGGACTGCTGAATAGTATAATTTTTGAGAAATCTCCACACTATTTTTCACAGTGGCTGTACTAATTTACATTCCCATCAACAGTGTATAAAAGTTCCCTTTTCTCTGCATCCTCACCAACATCTACTATTTTTAAAATCATTTTATTAATAGTCATTCCACCTGGGGTGAGATGCTATCTCATTGTGGTTTTGATTTGCATTTCCCTGATGATTAGGAATATGGACCATTTTAGAAATATAACTGTTGGCCATTTGTGTGTCTTCTTTAGAGAAATGTCTATTCATGTACCTTGCCCATGTACCTTGGAGCAGGGTCATTGAGTGTGGTAGCTTTCCCAAGTAGGTTGTTCTTTGGCCATAGAGAGTATGTGCTTTGACTTTCTTTGTCCGGGGGCAACCTCCCTAGTGTGCTGCACTGCCTTTACCTGGCATACAGGGCACTGTGTGTGCTAGAATGCTGAGGACTCTGCCACTCTGCTGGGTCTGACTGGTGTTATTGCTGCTACAGCTCTCTGGGTGGACACAGAGGGGTGTCATTGGGGCTCCAGGGATGTGAAGATACAGAGGCTATTGGGCCCCAAGGCAGGATGCGGGCCCCAAGGCAGGATGCAGACCCCAGTCGGGTCTAGGCTCTCAAAACGGCACCATCCTGAATCTGTTTAGGACTTGGTGGGTGTGTTGGACCATTATTAACTCTCTCTCTCTAGAGCAATGCCCTTGTGTCATCCCCAGGCAGGTCCCTATGTTATTCTCAGACCCTGTGATGGGGTCTCCCATGGGTAGGGTCTCAGGAGTCCATGATGGGAATATGGACAGCTGAGAATCTTTTGCTTACTCTTTCCCTGCACTAGGGAGCCTCTATAAGCTCCCAGCTGATCCCAGCTGAGCTGACTGCCTCCCTACCTGCTCCTTCCATGCCTCAGGTGCTTCCTGTTTCTTCTCTGTTGAATTCCAGTATTCTCAGATGATCTATTTGAAGTCTGATTATGTATTTGCTATTTTGGTTCCTGTCTGCAGAGGAGGTGAGTGTTGGATGCCTCCAGTCAGTCTTCTTGAAGTTTCTCTCACACAAATCTTTATGTCTTTCATGCCAATCTTACTATCTCAGTGAATGAATGACTATATGACAAAACTATCTCATTATAGGTAGGCATCATCACATCACAGTGGATACCATGGTAGGCACCATGTCCCTATTCAAAACTGCAGCACTCATTTTCCCAGATGCCAGGATTATTAACTGCCAACGGCTCATAGCTAAACACTTTTCCAAGCACTGGCCTGGATTAAGACTATATTTCCTCCTGAAGAGAGTGTGGGACAACCTGTATACAATGCAGAGCCAGGACCAGGGTGAGAAACTGGCCTTGAGTGCTAAATTTAAGCAGGTGCCAAGATCTCAGTAACCAAAATAAACAATATTTTAATATAATATTTTAAAAATAAAAATGCAAGGGTTCTTTAATGATCAAAATATCATAATTTTAAATAAAGATATAATCAATATGACTGATCTTTCTCTTCACTTGAGGCTCTAATATGGCTTCCCAAAGCCCTCTATTTTAAAGTGTTATTTAAAAAACACAAACCAATGCAAAAGTTTGCCCTGAACAAAATACTAAAATTTGTAAATAAAGACTGATTTTTGCATTAGTTTAGATTTTTTTTAAAAAAATCATTAAAATATTATTAATCTTGGCGACTGAGCTTTTTGGCACTCTCTAAATTTTGTCCTCAAGGCACGTGCCTCACTCATCTTATGCAGCCCCAGTCCTGGCAGGTTGACTCAGGGAATACCAATGTCTCTCTCCTTTACCTTAAAGGGAGGCCATGCTGAGAGGCCATCCCAACAACATAGTCCCTCTGGGATCAGCTGAAACTTTCCTTGTGACTTTATTGTAGTCCAATCCTGCTCTGTTCACTCCCTTAACAGCATTATTCCCAAGAGTACTCCTGCAGGCGAGTCTCTGAGTCTGTTTCCTCTAAGACCTCCCCAAAGAAAAGAGGTGAAAACTGAAGTTCACAGAGAACTTGCCCAAGTTCTCAGAAATCCTATGTGATGAAAACACAGGTTAGGCCAAGCACAGTGGTTCATGATGGCAATTCCTGCACAGGGAGCCTGAGGTAGGAGGATCATTGGAGCCCAGGAATTCAAGACCAGCCTGGGCAACATAGTGAGACCCCCATCTCTTCAAAAACTAAAAATAATTAGCTGGGCATGGTGGGTACACACCTGTGGTCTCAGCTACTTGTTGGGCTGAGGTGTGGGGATCACTTGAACCTGGGAGGTCGAGGCTGCAGTGAGCCATGATCATGTCACTGCACTCGAGCCTGGGTATCAGAGCAACACCCTGTCTCAAACAAACAAACAAACAAACAAACAAAAAAAACCCAAAAAACCCACTCAAGTTAGTATGACTTTAAAGCCAGTGCTTCTCGTCATAACATTTTATAGGCTAGGGCCAGAATTTTGGACTACATTGTAACAAATCAAAGGTAAAACAGAGATACCAACAATCTCTATGCACTTTCCTAATTGAATTTCCTAATTGTGGACTAGAAATCATGTTTTCTGATTTCAAGGAAGTGGGACTCTGACTATATCAGACCCTGTGGTGAGCAGAATAACACCCCCAACCCCCAAAGATATCCACACCCTCATTCCTAAAACCAGTGAATGTGTTAACTTACATGTCAAAAGGAACTTTGCAGATGTGATTCAGTTAGGGATCTTGAGCATACACTGCATTATCCATGTAGTCCCAAATATAATCACGAGGGTCCTTACTAGGGAGAGAGGGAGGCAGGAAAGTTAGAGAAGGAAATATGATGACAGAAGCAGAGGTCTTAGTGATGTGATCATGAGACAAAGAATGCAGACAGCCTTTAGAAGCAGGAAAAGTCAAGCAACAGAGCCTTCCCTGGAGCTTGCAGAAGGAAGGCAGCTCTGTTGCCCCTTAGTCTTAGCTCTAAGACCCATTCTGGACATCTGACCTCCAGAACTGTAAGAAAATAAATTTCTAATGTTTAAAGTCACTCAGTTTGTGATAATTTGTTATAGCAGTAATACAAAACTAACAGAGCCCTAAAGCAAAGTTTCGGCCCTGGCATTATAGCCTGTGGCTTTGAGTTGTAATGGATCCCCTTACAAAGGCTTTTTAGTTGTATTATATTTTTAAAAATTTAAAATGAACTTGTATATGTGGAAAAATTGATGATCTGTACTGACTCCAGATGGTCATGTTCTCCTGATGACAGATGGAAGTCCAGGATGGGCGGGGCTATCTGCAAGAAAGCAGGAGAGAAATGATTGATATAGGAAGCCAGCACAATGCAGGAACTCTTTATACAAGCACAATTTTTACTTTTCTGATTCTTCAGGGTATTTTTTGAATTGTGGAAGGAGATGAACATTCTTATCATTTTAATATGGAACCAGCTGTACTGTTGTTATTTCTCTTTCCTTGTTGTGCTAGAACAGTCTGGAGTTTTAGCTCTTCTTGCATTTGAGCAAAAGTTGATGTTTTTAAATTCTTTTTGTTGATTAGACATGCGGGTCTATTGGATTATTATTATATTATGTTTTATATATATAATATTATTTTAAAAAGTTGAAGTTGAAGCATTTTTATTTTTTCTTTTTTTTTTTTTTTTTTTTTTTTACATTAGTCATAGGGACGAAGACAAAATGCCTTGGCTGGAAGCCAGAACAAGAGAATGTGGAGCATCAACAAAATATCTTGAACATAAATGAGAGAGGGAATACCAATGACTCAGGGAATACCAATGTCTCTCTCCTTTGCCTTAAAGGGAGGCCATGCTGAGAAGCCATCCTTTGAGAGAGTATGGTTTTCACCTTAGGCAGGAAGGGGATTCTCCCAGGGGGGATGAACTAGAAAAAGGAAGAGGAAAGTACCATGTGTATATGAGTAGGAAGATGAACAAAAGGAGGATGGGGGAAATAGTTATAGTTAAGCAGATTGGATCTTAAGCAACTTTGCCAATGATACTCTTACCCCAAGTGTATACCAGCAAGATATGCTTCTACTGCCAGTGACATAGAAGCAGAGTCATCACTGGAGAAAGCCATAGCTCCCATCTTGATGGGCACCTTCTGCCCCTGAGGCCTCAGTTAGCTGCACTTACCTTCTGCATCTCCTGAGGAATTCACTCCATCAGTTAGCATCTTGTTTGCTGACTTTTCTAAAGAAGTGATATGTATTAATATTAGTCTGTTCTATCACTGCTATAAAGATATCCAGGACTGGGTAATTTATAGTGAGAAGAGGTTTAAATCACTGAAAGTTCTGCATGGCCTGGGGGGCCTCCAAAATTTACAGTCACAGTGGAAGGCAAAGGGGAAGCAAGGCGCCTCCTTCACAAGGCAGCAGGAGAGAGAGAGTGAGCAATCAGGGGAAATGCCAGACCCTTATCAAACAACCAGATGTTGTGAGAACTGCTTCACTATCACAAGAACAGCACGAGGGAAACCACCCCCATGATCCAATCACCTCCCAACAGGTCATTCCTTTGATATGTGTGGATTACAATTTGAGATGAGATTTGGGTGGGGACACAGAGCCAAACCATATCATGATACCTATTCATTTTTTCGGATTTTGTTTGGTTCCTGCCTGAGTTATTCTCACCTCATAATGCCCCAGGATAAAAGTGAGCACAAGAAAATGAGATTAAAGTCCTAGAGACTTAGGAGGGTGGCCTAACAAAGAATTCTTGGGGTTAACTGGAGCCAAACTGATTTGATACCTTCCCATCATCTCTCCTTCTTTCACATGAGCTGAGACAATGGTTAATGGCTCCTTTTATAGTATAATTTAAAAAAATGTGTAAATATAAGGGTCACCTAGCACGTAAAGAAGGAATATAAAGGTCAAAGTTCTTGTTTGGGAATTGCTTATACTCAGTTTGGATGAGCCCAGCTCTTTATGGCTGCTTCTTCCATGATTTGGAAAAGTGCAAGCCTACACAGCTGTCAACTCACTGATACTCTCAGCAGCATAGGTCAAACTAAACTCCTAGTTAACTCTAGGGTAGTACAGCCCTTGGTACTGTCCTGGTTTGAGTTTCTTGGACATTTGGAGAAAGAAAACAGATGGGAGAAGTATGATTTTGAACAAATAATTTACCACATTGCAAATTGCTTTATCCGTGAAAGTTCAGTACTTTTCTACATTGCTTAACTAAAAGTTGTGGGTTTTAAAATGTAGTTGTTCAACTAAGCTAGCACCTGAGTGAATTAAAAAAAAAAATGGACTAAATACTGTGGACGGAGAAGTGAAAATAGCAGATAGCAATCTGTACTGGAGCCTTCAGGCTGTCTGCTCAGTAACCTTCTGACCCATGGATATGGGTCTGGGTAACCTATGTCACCTGGTGGCCTCCTTCCTGAGTGGTGGTAGGGGTTGGGGAATAAGGTTCTACACATCATTCTCTGCATGTGGCTAAACTTGAAACATGGGAGTAGTGAAACATCTGTGAGAACTAGTGTATTAGTCTGTTTTCATGCTGCTAATAAAGACATATCCAAGATTGGGTAATTTGTAAAGAAAAAGAGGTTTAATGGACTCACAGTTCCACATGGCTGGGGAGGCCTCACAATCATGGTGGATGCCAAGGAGGAGCAAGTCATATCTTACATGGATGGCAGCAGGCAAACAGAACTTGTGTAGGGAAACTTCTCCTTATAAAATAATCAGATTTTGTGAGATATATTAACTATCATGAGAATAGGGAAATACCTGTCCCCATGATTCAATTACCTCCCACGGGGCCCCTCCCACAACACGTGGGAATTCAAGATGAGATTTGGGTGGGGACACAGCCAAACCATATCACGCTGCCCTTTGCCCCTCCCAAATCTCACATCCTCACATATGAAAATCAATCAAGCCTTCCCAATGGTTGCCCAACGTCTTAACTCATTTCAGCATTAACTTTTTTAAAAGTCCACAGTCCAAAGTCTCATCCAAGGCAAGGCAAGTCTCTTTTTCCTATAAGCCTGTAAAATCAAAAGCAAGTTAGTTATTTCCTAGAGACAATGGAGGTACAGGCATTAGGTAAATACAACTGTTTCAAATGGAAGAAATTGGGCAACATGAAGGGGCTACAGGCTCCATGCAAGTCCAAAATCCAGCAGGGCAGTTAAATCTTAAAGGTCCAAAATGATCTGCTTTAACTCCTTGTCTCACATCCAAGTTATGCTGATGCAAGAAGTGGGTTCCTATGGTCCTGGGCAGCTCTGCCAGGGTGGCTTTGCAGGGTACAGCCTCCTTTCTGGCTGCTTTCCTGGGCTGCCTATGAGTGTCTGTGACTTTCCCAGGTGCAAGGTGCAAGCTGTCAGTGGTTCTACCATTCTGGGGTCTGAAGGGTGGTGGCCCTTTTCTCACAGCTCCGCTAGACAGCACCCTATAGTGTAGACTCTGTCTAGTGGCTTCCACCCCACATTGTCCTTCCATAGTACCCTAGCAGAGGTTCTCCATGAGGTTTGCCCCTGAACCAAACTTCTTTCTGGACATCCAGGCATTTCCATACACCCTCTGAAATCTAGGTGAAGTTTCCCAAACCCCAGTTCTTGACTTCAGTGCATTCACAGGCTCAACACCACGTGGAAGCTGCCAAGGGCTTGCACCCTCTGCAGCCACAGCCTGAGCTCTACCTTGGCTACTTTTAGGTACCGCTGGAGTGGCTGGAACTCAGGGCACCAAGTCCTTAGGCTGCACACACAGCCAATGACACCACTTTTTTTCCTCCTAGGCCTCCAGGCATGTGATGGGAGGGGTTGCCTTGAAGATTTCTGACATGTACTGGAAAAATTTTCCCTGTTGTCTTGGCAATGATTCACATTCAGCTCCTCGTTACTTATGCAAACTTCTACAGCTGGCTTAAATTTGTCCTCAGAAAATGGGATTTTCTTTTCTATCACATTGTCAGGCTGCAAATTTCTGAACTGTTATGCTCTGCTTTATTAAATGGAATGTCTTTAACAGCACCTGAGACTGGGAAGAAAAAGAGGCGATATGGTTTGACTATGTCCCCACCCAAATCTCATCTTGAATTTCCACATATTGTAGGAGGAACCTGGTGGGAGGTAACTGAATCATGGGGGCAGGTGTTTCTCATGCTGTTCTGGTGATAGTAAGTCTCATAAGATCTGATGGTATGTTAAGTGGGAATTTCCTGCACAAGCTCTCTCTTTTTGCCTGCTGCCTTCCATGTAAGATGGGACTTGCTCCTCCTTGCCTTCTACCATGATTGTGAGGCTTCCACAAGTATGTGGAACTGTAAGTCCCATTAAACTTTTTTTTTCTTATAAATTGCCCAGTCTCAGGTATGTCTTTATCATCAGCATGAACATGAACTAATACAATAGGTTTAACAAACTCATAGTTCCACATGGCTGGGGATGCCTCACAACCATGGTGGAAGGCAAAAGGTACTACTTTCATGGTGGTAGCAAGAAAGAATGAAAGCCAGTAAGTCTCATGAGATCTACTGGAGAAGATCAGGTCTGTCCGATATGAGGGCTTTCCCTCTGCCTAGCACACTGCCTGGCACAGAATAGGTCTTCAGTGAATATCTGTCAAATGGCTTGAATTCATACATGGATGGACAGGTGAGTGAACACCAACATGCAGAAAGTATCAGAGGAAAGGCATAGAGTCCGGCCCACATTCCAGTCCCCGGTTCCAGTTCCATCCCACCTTTCAGCTCCAGTGCCAACTTGAAGACTTACATATAATTCAGGCCATCCTAAGTTGGGTTCTGCTACTTGTGAATTATAGAGCAATCACTGATAATAATGGTCTCTAGTTTGGGGGAACTTGGAGTATACTTTTAAACAACCACGAAAAAAAAATATGTATTTGTGTAACTGATTCTTTCTCTCTATATGTGTGTGTATTTATACATGAGTGTGTGTGTGTGTAGGTATATGTATGTATTATATTGTTTTAGGGTGTATACATATGGATATATAAATGAATTGAGCAAATTAATCGATGTTCCTGAGCTCCCTTTTTATCTCTAAAATGAAAGGGTTAGATTCAATGATCTAAAATTTTAAAAGTATATGCTTTCCAGGAATTATGTCATTGTTTTATTAGAAAATCACCAGAAGCCATTCTGTTGCTAGAAAAGATGTGCAGGGAAGGCACTTTGGGAATTCACATACATTCTATGTTTTTCCATTGCTGAAAATAGTTTGGCAGCTCCTTCAGGAAGCACATTCAGAAGTATTCACATATTCTCCATGGAGGAAGACGTCCAGTCTAATGAATGTGATGACTGAGGGTGCTGCTAATGACAGTTCAGGCAGAAAAGCAAAAATTTAGTTATAAAACGGCAGTAAGAGTTTTCTCTGTGAACTGGCCATAGAGGTAGACCCACAAAGAGTATCATGTCACTGTCACTAAGGATAGAACATTGGTGAGGATAACATACCAAACCTTTCTGAAGCATCAGAGGGTAATTTGCAGTTGCAGTCCCCAAACTTGGCTTCCCTCTTTTTGGCTGGGACCTCAGTACTCCTCACATCAAGCATGGGCGTGTACCAGGTGTTCAATTAGTACTGAGTGATCGATTAAGCCAAATTGATTATAACCAGTTATCAGTGTTTCAATCAGGTGCTTAAAGTATATTTTTTTTACTTTACAGTCAACAATTTTCTTATAGTTTCCTTGTAAAAATCAGGAAAGTGAGACTGAGACAGCTTATGGAACTTGCCCCAAATCACACTGCTAAGTGGCAGAGGAGGTCACCCCAGGTTGTTTGACTCCAAAGCCCATTGTGCTACCCTGCCTCTCTCTTCTCAGCCATAATTAGAGGCAAATAAGAACAGCACAAAGAATTTTTCCTTATACCTGTTTAAACTTACAGCAACCCTCCATAAAGTATTATCCATCTGAACCACAATATTCTTCTGAATAACATCATCTGCCTGGAAAATAAGGCAAGAGGATTATAAATGTTTCAAAAAAAAATGTACCTTAGTATACTCACAATGTGGAAAGTGCATGTGGTACTCTGTATTTTCAGACATCTGAAAGGGCAGTGCATCTTCTCTGCACCATTCCCCCGCTCCCTCAGCTGTTCGTGTGGGTTTCACTGGCATGCATCATTGCTCCCCTTTCTCCTGTATGCCTAAGGTAGGGCACTTCTACCA